ACCTATATCTATTGTACAAAAGAAATTGTTACAGTAAGAATCACTTTAATTTTTGAGGTGACTGTTACAAGGACACTAGGATTGCTCTCAGATTGTAATTAATCATTAATTGAATCGTCATAATGTATAAAGCTATATTTCTTAATGAAAAAAATTGTAAATAATAGTATGTTTGAAACTGAGACGATTTTTAAGTTAAACAACACATAAAATGATTAAATGAAGTTACGCTACAATCTTAAGGTGACAGTAATTGGATCATCTGCCCTAATATTGTTGATTAACCCTCGTGTAATTACTATTTCTTGAATTTAAATTCGGTCTGAATTAAAATCAAATTAAGAAAATATATTTGCCTTTCGCCGAATTATACTAAATGCAAGAGATCGCTGTAAATTTACAAGTTTCTGTAACAAATACTATAATTAAGGATCAAATTAATCCGTACAATGTAGGTATAAGGGTTAACTAGGGAATTTTTTGGGTTACACATTTCAGGATATTAGATATAACATGTTTTTTAACGAGAAACTACAAATAGTATGTATTGTATATATTAAAAACAAGAACCTTAGTAATCGACATGAAAAATTTCTAGGATAATATATCATACCACGAACGTCCGTCTGTCAGTACAGTTGACGATACAGCTTTTCGTTCTCTTTTTCTGTTCAAATTAACATTCTACATCTCGTTTCTTTTACCGTGTGAATTTTTTTTCTCCTTAATTATAAAGTCGGAATCACCACACTCATCTTCGTATACCCGGAATTTCAAGTTGCTTCATTCCTCCACGGGGTCGCGTCGCGAAAACACTCGAAGATGTAACAAGCACGCGTCGTTTTCCTCCCCCTTTTCCTCTTCTTTTTACAACGTCGTCTCGCGTCATAAAGGAATCATTACCGCGAGACAATTAACCCTCTGTATAATTAGCTGATAAATTTCGCGTTAATTGCTGCCCGTTATGGCCGCTCAAGATTAATCGTCCGGGATGGCTTGATATTTAAATTAAAAGCAATCTACCCGCGGTTCGTTTCGCGTCGCTCGATTCTGCGATAAATACCTTCTTCTCCCGTTTCAATTTTTCCCACGGATGCAACATTATAAATTGATTGTGGGGAAAAATTGTTCGTTGACGGAAATCGATTGGGGATACAATTCCCATAGCCAAGAAACCCGAAGTCAAAAATGTTAGAAATTTACTAACACATAAAGTTACTCGAAATCACAATAAAGTGTAATATCTAGAATGATGTGAATGATATATTCGGATGATAATTTCATTATCTCTGAACATGATCCGAACGTTTTTGGAGTTGTAAAATTCAACAAACATCTTGAAGGTGTATCTAATGTTAACGTCTTTTGAGTTTAGAAACAATAAAAAAATAAAATAAATTCCGAATCGTCGCATCTCACGAACCTGATCAGTAGCACTGCGGATTTTTATGTGAACTCGAGGTTTTGTAAGGTAATTTGGAAAATCAGAAATCGAGTAGACCTTTGTTCCTTGTGTCGAGGCTTTTAGTGGGTATGAAAAATAATGTAGAAACTATTTTAAACTTCCATCAAATTAATTATTGAATTGTATTCTGTAGATATTAAGAGTGCATAAAATCTGCAGCCTTGTGATCATAATCGGTATTGTGTCGTTTAATTTCAAACTATTCTTGCAAATTATATATCTCGCTGGTTAAATTATATTTTCTTCCTCATATTCTTTCCTCATTGAAATATGCATTGGCTTATGAATATTAATACGGAAGAAAAATGAGATCAGGCCCCACAAGATCCCTGAATTCTCAGTCTTTAAATTGCAGTCCACGAGTTATAAATTTCGCTTATTATTCAAAGAAACTTAACAATTAACCGTCGTGTTAAACATGCCGTCGTTTTATTTTATGAAGAATTTCTAACGAAGAAGAATTTTCGTCGAATGTTTCAAAAGGAACCTAAAATGCTTCGAACAAATCAAACGACCAGCGTGTCGTAACTAATAACGGAATGGTAATGGATCGTTAGAATTCTTTCCCCCTACAATAGATCGTAAATCAACGAACGATTGGTCGTACGCGATCGGATTGTGAATCACGTGTTCGTCCATTAGAAACGTATCACTACGTTTTCCAAAGCGTTTACACAACGTGACTCGTGTCGAACGAATATCCGTCTACAGAGATAGCGATCTAATTATCCGTCGATTTCTATTCGAATCGAAAACAGCACGGTTCTAGGATACCTGAGCGACGTTGGTGGTATTCCATTAGAAAGGAAAATGGTGGCCCGTTTCAGTACTTCCGGCATAATCGATTTACGCGTGGAGAGAGGGATAATGATATATATTAATGGTTATTAATAATCGCAGGGTTTTCGAATTAAACGGGTGGACAGCGAAAACATCAGTCAACGTGTCAATTAAACGGGCCGCTCGGTGATTAAAAGCGCGTTCAATTAAAAAGGAAAGCGACGGCACGGGTGTAACTTTATTTCACACGTTCAACATATTCCGATTCCGAGGAATTCCAATTCCATTTCGTGTTTCCTTTTTAACAAATTTATATGTTTAGAGAGTCACTTTTAATTTCACTGGTACAACGTTCTTGAAAATTATAGATCTCGCTGGTTAAATTATACTTTCTTCCTCACCTTTTCTCTTCATTAAAATATGCATCGGCTTATGAATATTAATAGGCAAGAAAAATTAGATAATTGATGAGTCCCGCCTGTAAAGGAAAGCAAGGTAATTGTGGTGAAACTGATCGGAGAAGGAAATAAATAAAATCGAGATTGCTATATGTAAACGATCCTATGCACTGATTTGTGGCTATCCATTTTGCTGAAATAAATTCTTGGTAAGTGAATGATGTCTCATAAAAATGAAAGGATGTTTATGTAAAATCATATGTTTCTAGATTAGTTTATGACAATGAAACGTGTATTGAATTATCCATTTCGTTATGAAGAGTTTTACTAAATTAAAACTGAAGTAAAAATATTGTTAAACTTTAATTTCTGTTCTTTTTTAAATTGAATCGCCAATAAACAATTTGTCTTGAGAATTAGCAAGTTTATACTTCAGAATTAGTCATCTCACATTTCAAAATTAAAACGTATGAAATCTAAATCCTGCAGAAATTTTCAAAGTGAGGGTACACCCACGAGCAAACTCGGCTTCCACTAGGGGAAAAAATGGCGTAGAAGAAAAATCTCCGCCACTTACTAAATTTATTTCAAGTACTGAAATAAATTTTCCCTACGCTAGTTTTTCCCCTAGTGGAAGCCGAGTTTGCTCGTCGGTGTACAGTAGGATGCGTTCGATCGACGATCCAACCAGGCGAAATCGATTTTCCATTGAAAACGGAATCGGATATGATGGAGACACGGACACACAGACTCTCGCAGCTGCATTAGTAACTGCTAATAGACCGTGAACTCCGCGTCGGCTCTCATTGTACCGTAAATCACTCGGCTCTGAATGCAGATATAATGTCTCTTTATGCAATACGATATCATATTTCATGTAATGGTGCCTATCATGTACTATAATTGCAGGCTTATTTTACCAGTCGACACACGGGCGCGGGAATACGTTCGTAGTCGGACTAACTCGAATAATTATTGCGGCTGACTTTCGATAAAGAGATCACCGGTATCCTTATCCGGTGAGGTATCGGTACACACGGCCGCGTCGCAGTAAATAGTAAAATAATTAACGCAAGCCGTAACTAATACGGGCTAACCGGCGATCCCGTTTGAGGAAAGCGATCGACCGCTTTAGGAGCTGCGAACGGTAACTCCGATTGATCAGATTGATATGTACCTACTACTGATGCAAAAAGACGTGTGTTTGTAGAGACACACACTCCCGACAAAAAGTCGTCGAACATTTACATTGATAAATGTAGTAGAATACGAAGAAACCGACGTTGTGAAATTATACATACATAAATGAATTCAGTAAATTAGAGTACTTTTGATTTAGTTAGGGGTAACATTGTCCAAACGTCAAAAAATTATCATTTTTGATTTTGCAACTCTTTGCAGGTGTTTTTACGTGAAATATCTTTTTATCTGAAAATCAACTGTATTTAACAACTTGTTTTTTTTATTTGGGACAAAGTTACTGTGATTGAGTCAATTACCCCAGCTTACGATTCTTAATAATCCTTTATGTTAAAGAGAGATTTTAAATCGTATCGTGGGTTGTGAATAACCTTTATTTTCCCTTGTTGTCAGCGTGTTCTGTTCGTTTCAAAATTACGGTGAATTTTTTACATATAAATAGAAATAAATGAACTCTGAATAATCCTTTAAATTGCAGAGAGTATCTAAATCGTACCGCATGTTGTGCGAATAACTGGTATTTTCCCTTGTTGTTAGTAATAATTACAGTGAATTTGTTAGATGTATCTTGATCAGCCCTATTTTTCCAAACTTTTAGATTGTATTTGAGCTTACGTTTTATTACTTTTTTTCAGTATGGAGTAAAGACAATTATTTGCATTTGTCAATGTTGCTTTTATACTGTGATAGATCATAAGACATCAAGATACCACTTTTTATATCCCCTCAAACTTTACAGGCATCTACAAAATCTAGATTCTCTAGAAAGTAGAAAAACCTATCGGTTCTGTTGATCATAAGAATTTCTTTGAAAAATTAAAATTAATTCACAAGCAATACTTATTAAAATGTTTAAAAAACATCAATGTACATATAATACAATAAGAAAACATTTCCTATTGGACGCTAGTAAATAAAGCTTTCCAGAAAAATCAATATTTCATATTTAAACAGATTCTATATAAGTTCAATAAGATTTCTAATTCATGTTCTAACGTTACCGAGCCAGCAGCAAAGGGTACAGAGCTCTGTCTCTATTTCTTCTTTCTCCAAAATGATATTTCCATACAAATATGCAGTCTATTCGTATCAAATCATTTATTCTTTTAATTCCAGAACATAAACGAAGCCACATATTACAATGATTACAGGTAATATCATTTTTTATTCAGATCCAAAGGTACGATCCCGATTTTCTGTCCACTCTCGTCTTCGTGCAACGTCACTCCCATCTCCCGCAGCACGCTGTTCTCCACAACACCGGTCCTAGTGCAATTCTGTACGATCTCTTGATTCTCGGGATTATCCTCGCATAAATTCCGCAGAGCGAGGATCGTCCATTGCATTATAACTGCGCGTTAAAGGAACGTTTAATTGTGGCGGTTGAACGATCGGCATTAATTGGTTGAAATATCATACGCGCGGCCGCGGAGCCGGCAATCACAATATATAATAAATAGGTATGTAGAACGAGTGTCACCGGTACTCACGGGGATTTCTCGCGTCTATATTGCAGCAGTCCAGGAGCAGAGGAATGGCGTCCATTTCACGGACCTGAAAAACATTCTCTGCCGTCAGAACTTATGCTCTGTCCCAAGGTGGACGGTTTACATATATAGGGTAGACCGAGGCGAATCGGATTATTTTCTGTTTGATAGTAAAAAAATAATAGTTAAAGTTTCGAAAGCTAATTATGTATTATAAATTCGTAATTAGTACAGGTTTAATTTGAACATTAATAATAAAAAAGTAAAAAAAAACTTCAAAATCTTTGTTGTGCAAACAAAAAACGAAAAAGTGAGAAATATCCGATTCGCCCCAACAGAAAACTCTGAAAAAGGTCAAATTTTCATAAAAAATGTCTTTAAATTAATTTAAAACAATATAATTTAATGATAATGGGGTCAATTGACCCTACTTGGTACACAGGACGCAAGTATAGCGTCCTTTAACACTACCTCTATCAGCACAATTCTCGTGACACCACCCTTCGCAGGCATTGCACTGTATCCAATCTTCTTTCATTTTAACTGAACACCATGAACCGTGATTGGTCTTTTTAATGTACTTACGAACTATCTGTGTATAAATAGTTATCACATTTATAATCATAAAAATATTCAAACGAAGAAAGAGGGTGATCCGATTCACTCCAAATGATGTGATCCAATTAGTCCCATAAATAAGGACTTTAAATTCAATAGGATACATAGACGAATTATCATGTAATAATATATGAAAATATGTGAAAAAAATATATAAAATATCAAATTTGGACATCATACAAAGCTTACTTTTTTATTTTAAGTACGAAATTGCAGATTAGGTACTTATCTTAGATTCGCACCTAAATTATAACGTTCGCACACGTTTGCCTCAATGGCAATATGTGCCAGCACTAAACAAGTACGTAGAACAATTGATTAGTTATTGGATTGGGTGTGGGGGCAAGGATGAGGCAATACGAACAATCGAAATGTTCGTTTCCATGAGAATATAAAAAATATGGACTGAAATCTTATTTTGATCCGATTCGCTTCGGTCTACCCTATATATTATATGATATTATGTTGTGTAAAACTTCGAAACCGCGTAAACCGAACGACGCGGCACATAAACACCGGGAACAATATTTTTTTTTGTTTCTCTTTGTTCTTTAGAAAATGTGACGACGCCAGTGTTGGGAAGAAATATTGCGGGACGTCCCAAGTAACGATGCAGCCGAAGAAACTCATGAATGTGAATATCAATAGATTCGATATCTAAGGTTTGTTGCTAGTAAAAACGTATGGCACATTTATTTTAGTGTCTTGACTACATAATTTTAAATTGAAAAGAAAGATAGAAGAGAAAGAATCCAATGTACAGTGTGGATCCATAGGAATTACCATTTTAAATATTTCCGCAACTGCGAAATCAAGAGAAACTCGATTTTTGGAGCAGTAGATAATCGTTACGACCGCGTGATGGTATAAATAACTTTTATCTGAACAATTTTTTTCTGTTGGTCCCATAGTTCTAAATATTCGAACTTTCAGATGAATGACTTTTCCTTTAATAGGCCAAAACAATTTATTCTATTTAGAAATGAGTGCAGATGCTTGTATCTTCTCGTATGTAAGATTCGAATCGAACTTTTAAAATTATAAACTGAACAACGAACTGACAAACGAAGACAGTTATTCCGAAACCCTAAAATATTTCTAACCGATTATCAATTAAATTACTAATATCCGTCCGAAGGCTGACTGCACTCAAGACTTTCACGGCCATAAATGTTTTATCAACACCTCGGTACATTGTAATCGATAATTTGCATACATCGATATTCATTCGTCGAAAATAAATAACCATTCCAATCGAAATCTATAATTGAATCCCGTCATCGCAACGACACTTTTTTTCGACAACTCCTCGGCTTGATACAAGCAATGCAACGAACGTTACGCGTTCGGAATTGAAATCGCCGAGATGAAAAAAAAAACAGGAAAAACGTTTTTACTGCGAATGCTCGGAGGCGAGTTTTACTCGCGAGGGATGGCCGGAGATGGTTGTCATAAACGGGTCTGTACGTACAAATTTTATTATCGGCCGTGCTCCCAACGAAACACCCTGCGGACACAACCAGGATATTCTGTTAACACTGTAACGCCATAGTGGCCGCGCGTAATTTTACAGGGCAATCGTGTCGCGGCCATACGTGTTTTCGCAATCCGTGTGCATGAAGAACGGGGCAATTCGTGTTTACAGAATGAAATTTAAGAACACGATCGCCTTCGACACCTTGAACGAGCAAAAACACGAGAGTAAAAAAAGAGAAAGAGGGGAAAAAAGAATATCATCCAAGTGCCTCGTATTCACGCTCCTGCACGCGGCTCGAGACCGCGCCACGCCAATAAAATTATTCGAATGCAACAGAAAGCGGCCGTACTTTTCGATCCTGCTAATATATTAACGCGGTATCCGATCCCGGCTAAATTGCCGCGTCTTCAAGTCGGACAGGATACTTAATTTTCCTTTGTTCCGCGGCGAACAGTGCGCGCGCGCGGTACGGATCGGTTCGTTCTTTTGTGCCCCATCTCCATCGCGGCGAAGATGAAATCAATAAGCGGCAATGGCGATCACTCGGGGGCCCTGTATATACGCATAAGGCGCGATAAAAACCGAGCAACGTGAACCCTTATTTCCGACGTAACGTTTCGCGCGGGTTCGTTCTCTTTTTGCGTGTCAGAGAATGATCTATGGACCGAAACGGTCTTACACAGCCGGGATGATGAATGAATAATTGTCTGAAAGACGAGACTCCCAGAGGCTGAATAAATCCTAAGGGGAGTTTAAAGGTTTTCTGCGAGTAGTTTAATTTTTTGTTATTGTGTATTTCCGTTATCTGCCTGAATTTCAGGCTGCAGTTGAAATTATCACCACTATCATTTCGCACGGCGCTACTTTATGGATCGCTAGTCCGAAATTCGATGATATTCACTTTACCGGCAGAAGATAATGTAACTGACACCGTGCAGTCGCATCGCAATGAATTAACGACGACATTACATGTAAAAGACCAGCTTCTACGACCGTTTTATTGCAAAGTGATTTACTTCTATTTTTTTTTTCATCTGGCTCACTCATCAGCGTCGCTATTACATATATACATAGTAAGGTTGGCGATATGAGTATAAAGAGAAACACTTTACATGGAATTCATTAGAACCCTTGTTCAAAATAAACGAAATGTTGTAGATGAAAACAAATGGAAAGTTGAATATCTTGTTTTTGTTTATTATAGTATGGAATAAATTGATACTTACAAGGTCTTGACATTCTTTGTTTCTGTATGACACGTTTCCAATAATTCTTATTAATCCAGCTTTGAAGCCAAAAGCAGGGTGGCTGCATAAGTCTTTTCTCTCTCTAATATCTTTATATTCGTTATCTTCGGTTTCCGTACTACTTAAATTTTGTTGTAATCCATTATTTTTGGTTTCTTCCATCATTTTTGCTATATCACTTAACTTTTGCATTGGTGTAAAGTAATTATTTGATTCTTTCCCAATCATCTGTATAGATCTCAAAAGATCTATGAAGAATATATGTTAATTATATATTAAATACTGAAATAGATATTTAAATATGAATGTACTTACAGGTACAATTAATTAGTAAGCTTTTATAATTTTCTATAGATTGACATGCTTTAGCTGAACGAGAAGTCACAGTCCCGAGAATATCGAGAAGGATAATAATTTCTCTTGGTTCCATATTATCTAGATATGAATCAACAGTTTTCAGAAGTATGTCGCTTCTTTTACAGAACCTTTCTGACAGAAAATTAATTGCATCTTTTCTTAATAGATGATCACTCTCACACCCATACACTGAATCTGATACTTCATTGTGAATTATTTCCAGTAAATATAATTTGTCCTCAATGTTCATATCGTTGTATGAAATTCTGAGCAAATTTGACTGGTATAATAAACACATCAAAGCTTCCTTTGCACTTTCGAAACCTTTCTTAATTGGCTTTAGAAGTTGTGAACATAATCGTGTTTTTTCTAGATTTGTGAAATTTTGCCCTTCAAATTCTCTCAAGGCATTATGTATAAATATACAAGATGCTCTGACACTTGGAATATGGTCAAAATTAGTTAAATTCCTGTTGAAAAGTAGAAAAAGTAATTTTAACCCACATAAAGCTTTATAGTAATTAAAATTTCACAGTGAGCAATACCCATAATATACTTACATAATTATACTTTTTAAATTAGTATCATATAAAAATGTTGGAATGCTGCATTGATCATCAAAACTACTATTCTTACATGCAAATGTAAATAGATTGCATAAAAACTGAATACATAATCTGAGTATTTCCAGTTGGTCATCCATTAAATCTTCATTAAATTTGTATGATTTAATAAAGTTTACTGTCCACTCGATAACACTTTCATAAGGAAAGTGAGAATGAAATGGGTACAAAATGTAAATTTCTGACTTTTTTAAGTTTTCATTGTTTGTAATTAGCTTGGAATATAATTCAAGACAGTATGTTCCATATTCAACATTAGTTGAACTATATTCCTTATGTTTGTAGCCATTAAAACAAGAATTGCCTAAACATTTTAAGCATACAACTTTTATATTGTTAGGGACTACAGGCTCTTCTGCCTGAAGGATTTCGGCTACTTTTGATAGACATGGAAAAGCAATTAATTCCCTGAAAATTTAACAGTTTGTTAAATTCGCTAAACATTGTAAATTTATACAATATGTTGTGTATTTTAAGTCATACTCTGATTCGGGAGTACTGAACAACTTAGGATTAAGAAGACTCAACAATTCGTCCCATTTTTGTTCAGAAAAAGCTGATTCTAATTTAGGTAACAAATCAATACTTCTAGTACTCATTGTGTCGATACACATTACAAAATCATAGCATTAAAGAAATTATTTTATTTAATGTAACTACGTGTACTATCAATCGAACGTATAATTTGTAACATAACCTATTCAAGTACACATGACAGGAACCATTTTTAAATGAACATACAGTAAAACATAGACTGCGCAGTCTTATGGTAGGGCCTTTTTGAGTGCTCTCTACTAGAATTAAAGTCGACATAGAGGGAGACAGCAATAACTGGAGCAGCTACTTCTTTTCGTAATAGGAAAGGCCTGTCTTAAATAAACGAGAGCGGTAGAGCGAGTCGCGGTATCGGTGCTCTCCGTCGGTGTCGACGCGTGCTGAGGAATTTCGGTGGTCTATGGACGGAGGTGTGCGAGTGAGAGAGTACGGTAGAGCGTGCCGCGGTATCGGTGCTCTCCGTCGGTCCAACGCGCTAGTGACGTTGCGTCACAGAGTTTATTGACCTAGCCGTGTACGCTGTGTACCGTGGCTGTACCTGGCCGTACCATCTGGTGTTTGGGTCGTTCAAGGAGGAAGGTCGTTCAAGCCGGCAAAAACAATTCAATACGAACAAACCTGCGTACGCCCAATACATAACAGCGTTAGCTTCCTCACTTTCTTGTGAGCCGTCGCGGAGGGTGGGCGCGCGTCTCAT